CTGCTGCAGGCAGGAGACTGCTCTGCTTTCTGCCCTGCAGCGGACAATCGGAAGAAGGAGCGGGTGCCCCACCGGGGACGCAAGCCCCAGGACTTCTCCATCTTCAGGCTCTCAGACAGCGAGATGAAGGTGAAGATCTCCCCGCAGCTCCTCCTGGCTACGCATCGGTTCATGGCAACAGGTACCTTTGCCCTTGTGCAAGCCCTGTGTCTCCTGGCAGCAGCACGAGCTTGCAGGGCATCCCTGAGCTGTTCCTGGGTTGGGCTCCCCCATCAGCGAGCAGTTTCCACCTGTCTGGACCCCTACCCTGGGCATCCTGCTGCTCCACCATCGTTGGTCTGTGTTTGGGTCCCCTCTGTGCAGCAGGGTGCTGAGGCTGAGGCCGTGCAGCTCAGAGGATGAGCAGTTCCCTGCAGCCCTGACCCCACTGAGCGAGCATGTGTTGCCTCCCCTCTAGAAGTGGAGCCTTTCAAGTCCCCATACCTCTCTGAGAAGATCCTGCTGCGGCTCCTGAAACACCCCAACGTCATCCAGGAGCTCAAGTACGACCGAAAGAACAAGAAGGCAGCGGAACATTACCTCTACCAGCGCAACCGCCCCGTCGACTACTTTGTCCTCATCCTGCAGGTGCCTGGGGCAGCAGCGAGTGGAGGGTGGCAGGGGGTGGCCTGTCTTTCCTTACCACCTTGCTCTCGGCTCCTTCTGCCAGCGGAGGTGCCCGTCTTCTCGTACAGGATAGTGGAGGTCCCTGCAGCCCTGGGTGGGTCGGTGACCAGGAGCGCAGGGTGCCTGTCTGAGCAGGTTTTCCTTCTCCTTCCAGGGGAAAGTGGAGGTGGAGGTTGGCAAGGAAGGGTTGCGGTTTGAGAACGGAGCGTTCACCTACTACGGCGTCCCCGCCATCATGGCTGTTGTCTCCTCAGGTAAGGGCTCTGCGGGCTCCATCCAGCCCTGCCTTTGCTTCTGCAGCCTCCATGGGGCTAAGCCAGCTGGTGGCCAGCAGAAAGTGCTGGCCATGGTGTGGGGTGGCCCTGCTGTGGGGCACAGGCCAGGCGGGAGCCCTTTCTTTGCGATTCCTACACCTCTGACTGTCATTTCAGATAACGACGTGCGGAAGGTGGGCAGCCTGGCTGGATCCTCCTTCCTGTGTAAGTCTTTTGGGACAGTCTGGGGCTCTAAAACCTCTCCTCCGCAGCAGCAGCTGGCTGGAGGAGGGATGGGTTTGCACCCCTTGCAGAGCAGCTTGGGCTCTGTGCTGGGGTCACACCCTTTAAAAAACTTGGTGAACAAACAACATTCTGAGGGGCTGATTTAGCAGAGTCCCCACAGAAGGACTTTGAGGTCCCTTTGAGGTTTTAGCCATGTGCTGGATCCCTGTGGATGCATCCCAGCACGGCTGGCACTGCAAGGGGCACTGCCCATGGGCAGCAGTGTGCCCACGCAGATGGGAGCAGTAAACCCTGTGACTTCTGGCACGGTGCACCTTGGTCTCAGTGTAACACCTCTGGATCCATTTGCATTCCTGAGGCTCAGAGCACGAGCTGAACGTGGGTCCCGTGCCAGGGGAACAGGGGCTGCTTGGGAGCTGCAGAGATGGGTCAATTTACCTATGAGCTCGGGGGGGGGGAAGTTAACTGAGTTAAAAGTAGATGCTCCAGTGCCACTGAATTCCCTGCCTGCAGAGCTGATGGATTAATGAGGAGATCCCCTGCTTGCAGGGGTTAAGAGGGATCTCTGGTCAGGGGAGCCAGTGAGCCCCCCCACCTTCTTTGCTGATCACTCCTGCAAATGTTTAGTGCCTGGAGATTTGGGAGAAGGCAGAGGTGCTGCCCACCCACAGTCTGGCACAGCCCTCATCCTAAACCCTAGATGTCACAGTGCTAGTGGTAAGCCAAGGATGCGCAGGGTGCCTAGTCAAAACAGGACCCCACTAAGGAGAAGTCATGGAGAGAAGAGGGAGAGACCCTTGGGGCAGGTGACTGTCAGTCCCATGCATTCCAGTCTTTGTGCAGCTCTAGAGTTCACCTGTTTCTTGTTGCCTGCTTTGCTTCCATTCCAAAGGGTGGTTCGTGGGCGGCTGGATTAACCCCTCAGTGTGCATTTGTGTGTCCACAGTGTGCTTGGTTTAGACAGAAGGAATAAATAAAGCATCTGTTTTCCCCTGGGACATTGCTGCATGGCCCAATGCTGCCATGCCCTTGGTGACTGTCCCCAGGGCCCCGCTGGGGCTCAGGCAGCGGGGGCTGGCCGCCACGGGACAGGCAGGGCATGAGCCACAGTGGGAGCTGTGCCAGTGTGGCCATGCGTGTCTGCAGTGCTGCCCGCCAGGACACTGCCACTCAGGGCTCCTTTGCTTCCCGTGCTCACGCATGACGCTGTGTCACGAGTTGTTTTCTGCCATCCAGCCACCCCTGCCTGCCACAGGACGTGTGCAGTGCCGCGCCCCTGGCCAGCAAGGGGGCAGGGTGGGAGGCAGAGGTTGCAAGGCATCTCCCTTGAACATTTAACAATTAGTTATTAATTAACCATTGTTATGCAACCTTTTTATCACCAGGTGATCTTTGGTGTTGCCAGCCAGGGCAGGCGTGCGGCAGCAGAGACCCGGCACAACCAGCCCCACGGCGGGTTGGGCAGTGAGGGCAGGGAGTGAGCGCTGGTGGTTAGCAACCTGTCCTTTGTTCCTGGCTGGATGAGGTTGTTCTGGGCAGCACTTTGTGCTGGTGCCTTTGCCTGGACTTTTATTTGCAGAAGGTTTCAGTCCACGGGAGAACATGGAACAGGATTTACTGGGGCAGGAGTGGGGAGAGCAGAAGGAGGAGGCTGCAGAGCAAATTTCCCCGAGGGTTTTACCTTCGAAGCAATTTAAAAACATTAATCACGTAGGCAGCGGACAGTCCCTAGAGCGTTGCAGCCATGCTGCGGGCACAGTGGCTGGAGGGAGGGCAGTGTGGCCTGGGCAGGAGGGCCAGCAGCTGGGGGAAGTGAGGCTGTGGCTGGAGGAAGTGGCGGGCTCGGTTCTCCCACTGCTTTTGAGGTGGGTGCTGCCAGCAGTGAGAGCAAAGATGGAGCATCAGGAGGTATTAATGAGTGCGTTGCTCACGTTGCATGCCAGTCTCTCCATGCTCCCCCACAGAGGCCTGCACTGCTGTGGCATGGCCCAGGAATGCTGTGGAGGGCAGCGGGGCAGCTCCCCGCAGGCAGCAAGTCACAGGGAGGGGGAACGCCTGCCCCTGAAATTGTCACTGCTGCTGTAACCCATGGCAATAAAATGTGGAAAGTGAACGTCCAGTCATGTGCCCTCTCTGTGGCAATAGGTCCTGGCTTCTTGTGGTTCCCACATGGAGCAGCTCCCGGTGGGTGGCTCCTCTCGGCATCACCCAAAGTCTGTTGAGACCCAGAGCCTTGCAGGGAGCTGCAGGTGGCTGGGCGTGAATGCCTTTGCTTTGCATCATGCTGAGGGGCTCCTGCCAGCCCCTGCCTGCAGCTGTGGGGCTGTGTGGAGACAAGGGCTGTTGCAGAGCACATTCCCTCTCTGCCAGCTGCCTGCACACATAGAAGCATCCCAGATGCCAAGCAGGGTGACTTCATTTAGCTTCTGCCCATCTCCTAGGTGGCACAAGGTGACCATAAAGTCCCCTCTCCTTGCAGTGGCTGGCGAAGGGCTGGAGCAGGGTGCCAGCACTCAGACGATGTGAGGAAGATGCTTTCTGCCCACACCGTGGCTGTGCAGACAGGCCTGGCAGGAGCTGGTCCCCCCAAGCCTCACCTCCTCTCACCTGGTCTCAGAGCAGTCTGTTGATTTACAGCATTCAAGTCTGTGTACCTGTCCCCGGGGCTGGCGAGTGTCTCCCCAAAGCAGAAGCAGGAGGGAGTAAGAAGGGTGGGAAGGGATGCTGGAGGTAGTGGTGGGAGCCTGGCCCAGGGCTGCTGGCACATGATTCTTTTTCTCATTCTTCCTCTTGGTCTGTCCCCCACCCTTACCTCCATCCCTTGCCCTCCCCCATCCCCTCCTTTCCTTCCCCCTCCTTCTCTCTGCAGTGCCCGTCTCCGTATCCCGTACCTTTGCCTTCAGCAGAGGGGACTCCCTAGCTGGCTCTCCAGGTAACAGGACATGGCTTTGTCAGGGACCTGCAGATATGTGCCAGGCTCTTTCCAGATCTCTGTGCATGGTACAGCAAGCTCACTCCACCCTGCATGGTGGGCAGCACCAGGAGAGAAGCAACCACAGCACACCACACCGGGCAGCCCTTCAGGGTTGGAGCATGGGTGGCAGATAGGGGACAGCAGCCCTGTCCCTGCCACAGCCTCCCCGGTATGATGCAAACCCCAGGAAGAATGGGATGGGAACAAGGGGGACCCATGGACTGCTCAGGCTTTCTTTGGTGTGAAGTTCTGTAATTTCCTGCACTAAGTGCTTGGGTTTTCTTGCTTCTTGCTGCTTCTGACCACGGTTACCCACAGCCCTGCATGTACGCTGTTCTGCTTTGCTTGCTTTCTGGCAATCTGGGTAATAGAAGGGCGTTTTAGCAGCAGAGCAAAGTCAGCAAGATGTTGACGTCACCCATGCAAGGAACAAGCTGCCTATGTTCCCTAATAAATCACTGACCACACAAAATCCATTACACCATGGTCAGAGGCCATCAGTCAATGTGAATGATGGGCCAGCTTGCTGTGGCATCTTCTGCTCCTGTTCTGGAGTCAGGGTAGACAGGAGTGTGCCCTCGAGGCAGGTTAAGTAAACCCCATGGGCTGCCAGCTGCAACCAGGAGAATTCGTGCCAAATGCCATGCAGAAGGTCTGCGTTAGCAGGGGAGCTGTCAGTCAGTCAGTGTGACAGGCAGGCAGCAGGCAGCAGCCCTAACCTCTCCTGCTGGTGCCAGGTCAGATGCCTGCCTGCCTGTTTGCGTGGGACTGGCATGGCACGGAGCCTCTGCTGCCAGTGTGCACTGAGGAAGACCACACCCCACCCCACCCCCCCAGCCACCCGCAGGTCCCTGTAGGGCCCCTGCCAGCCCCAGTGTGCATGGGACACAGCCGCTGGAGGTGACTGGTCCACCCTGGCCCTGCACCAGTACCAGGGACACAAGCAGCACCACGAGTGAGAGTAAGTGTTTGCCTCTCCGCTGTCCTCTCCTGCAGTGAACAGGTCACCATCACGGTGCAGCGGGCTCAACCGCTCCGAGTCCCCCAACCGGGAACACAACGACTACGGGGGCAGCACCACGCAGCTCCACAGCAGCAGCAACAACATCTACACGCCCGACTACTCCGTTCACATCCTCTGCGATGTGCAGTTTGTCAAGGTACTTCTGGGCTGGCAGGGACTGTCCCACCCCAGCCACCCCCTGCCTAGGCACCCTCTCACCCTGCATTGCCCTGGGAGCCTGGTGGGTGCCCAGTGGGTGCTGGGGAGTCCCTCACTCCTGCTTCCCAGGGTTTGGTGTCACCAAGTCACCGGGAAGTCCAGGTAGGGCTTGGTGCCCACTGGGGTGGGCATGCATGTCTGTGTGCCCAGGTCACCCGGCAGCAGTACCACAACGCGCTGGTGGCCAGTCGCATGGACAGCTCGCCCCAGTCCCCCGACATGGAGGCCTTTGACCGGGATTCAACCAAGGCCTCAACCACGCGGGGAACCCCACAGACACCCAAGGAGGACCCCACCACCCTCCTGAACGAGAAGAACAGTGTCATGTGTGAGTCACCCAGCAGCGTCCCTTCCCTGCCACAGACCAATGCTGTGTGTCCCCTGGGGGTGGCTGTGCTGGGACCTGCTGGCATGACAGGCATGCCACTGTTGAGACACAGTTGCACCAGGGCTGGGGGGTGTGGCTTTTTGGACGCTGTTCTGTGCCTGCACACACACACACACACACACACACACACACACACGTGCAAGTGTGCAGGCACATTATTCCACATTGCCATGTGCTCCTGTCTCCCAGGGGTCTCTGGCACTGGGACCTGCTGCAGAGGCTGGCAGCCTGCTGTGTCCTGCCCCAGGGCACAGCACCTCCCTGCCCTGCTACCACGCCTGCCCTGTCTCCCTGCAGGCAGCCGCTCGGAGGGGCTGCGCAGTCCCAGCGAGTCCGTGTTCCTGCGCATGGAGGGCATCCCCTTCATCCAGGAGGAGCTGGCTGACAACGAGGAGAACAGCAAGCGTCAGAGTGAGTCTGGCTGGGGGACGTACACATGCGACCCTGGGGGTTGCAAGGGCTACGGGGCACCGGGGCGCTGCAGCCACACTGGGCTTTTGCAGACAGTGAGTGCTGCAGCACCGTCCTGGAGGCAGAGTCCCCAGGCACAGAGGCTGGGACCAGCTCATCGCCGAGCAGCTCTGAGGAGACGCTGGGCAGGAGGCTGCTGAGATCCCTCAGTGAGTGACCGACCCGGGGAGAGAGCACCCAGGGGAGAGCTCTGCCCTAGCACCCAGCTGCCTGGGCTGGCTGCTGCCCAGCCCTGTCCCCTGCATGGGGCTGGTGTGGAGCAGGGGGGCAGCCTGGTTCTGTGGCAGCACCCCAGCAGCAGGCAAAACTGCAGCTAGGGCTAGCTCAAGCAGAGCCAGCCACCTGGTCCTGACCCAACCCTATGCACCCCCTGTCCTGAGCATCCTTGGCCCCCAGCACCCCAGGCACCTTCGTTGCTGCAGGTGGGCGCAAGCAGCGGTCATCGCTGGAGGGTGAGAAGACACCAGAGGAGAGCTCCAATCTCGCCCCATTAATCACCTGAGCAGCAGTGTGGCTGGAGCATAGTGCTGGAGGCCCACGCAGACTGAAGGTAGGAACCTGCCTCTTGGCACAATATTCCTTCCCCAGCAAATGGGAGGTCACTTAATTTTAATAGTGTAAAATCAAGTTTCAAGCAGCAAAGCCAGACGATGTGCTTTGGAGCCCATGCAGGCATGCATGTTGCTGGGGGCTGGAGCAGGGTCAAGGAATGTAGCAGCATCCCTTGTGGCAGGCATGGATGTCAGAGACAGAGTGAGACCCTGACGCATGTTTTCACAGCTAGAGATGTGTGTCTGCACCAGTATCGCTGATCCTGCCTAGGGAAGGTGCTGCAGGCTTCAGCAGCAGCAGCAGGTCAGAGAGGGCAAGCTCTGGCTGCCTGCACCAGGCTGCGCGTGTGTCTTGCAGGTCTGCAGCATGGGGTCTCCTGCCACGAGGCTCACGTTCAACAGCAGCAGGTCTGCACTCGCTCGCTGCCTGCCCGCCTGTCCGTCCGCTCGTGCCGCCCCTCCCTGCAGGACTTGCGCAGAGCCCCATCCCCAGGCGAGAAAGGATGTGTCCCCGCTGGGGCTGAACCACCCAGGTCGCCTGGACCAGCTAGCTGGAGTCCGAGGGCCCTTGCCCAGCTGCTCCCTGGTAGCATCTGGTCTCAAGGAAGAGGTGGAAAAAGGAAAGGTGGAGAAGTGTCTGGCACGGTGTCCCTGCGGGCAGAGCAGGGAGGGGCGGCCCAACCCAGAACTGCCCTTAGCATCATTTACCATCCCCATCCCAGCGAGGCCTGGAGCCCCTTGGTGCTGGGTGCTGCACAGATGTGGTCTCCACCATGAGGAGAATGTGCTATTTGGGGGGGTACCACGTGCAGCTGAGGGCCCCAGTGCACATTTGTGCCATGCCTAGTGACATGCACACTCGCAGCGCCTTGCGCACGCTGACCATCGACACAGCCCGGCACTCCTGACCCCCTGCTAGGCACAGGGCAGGGAGCCCAGCTCACCGCCGAGCGCAGCCCACCTCCCTGGGGAGGGCTGCTCCACGCTGCATTGAACCATCCTCCTCTCCACGCACGGCTGCCTGTGCGAGGGAGGCTCGTGCGGAGCCTTCGGGTTGGTACAGACCAGTCAGTAGTTTTTGTAGAGGCTGAACGCAACGGGGATATTAACATTAAAAGTGATTTCTCCCTGAGCGATGCCCTGCCTGTGTCAATGGGTGTAGGAAGAGATGCGCTAACCTCTGCCACCAGGCCAGGCTGCCCTCATACCCGTGGCCAGAGGTGGCTGGAGTAACAGAACTCGGCATCACTGAAGGAAGCAGGTAGAGGACGAGGTCAGCAAGTGCTTCCCAATTTCTCCCCATGAACCTGGCCCGTGTCACTCTTGGTGCCAGGAAAGCACTCGGCCGTGCAGAGAGTTACACCATAGCAGTGCAGACAAGGACTGGGGAAGAACAGGAGTTAATATGCCATTGCAAACACAATAGTGGGATACACATGCTGGAGTACGGCCTGACAGATAACGACAGAAATCTCATAGTCCACCAATGCTGATAAAACTTCAGTGGGAATAATTGCATCCCTGTCTGGGCACTGCCCTTCTAAGGAAACACACAGCAATTGAAAGGAGGCCAGAGGAAAGCAGGGGCTGGAAAACAACCTACCCCAAAGGCTGAAGGAAACAGGGTCACTTAATCTTAACTGGTGAAGGACGTGAAGGGGAGAGAGGAAGCTTTCAAATACATAAAAAGCTGTTGCAAAGAGGAAAGGAATAATCTGTTCTCTGTTGCCATGGTAAATGGATAATGGGTAATGAGCTTATACCGCAGAAAGGGAGAAATTTAGGTCACTCATTAGGAAAAACAAGGCTGGTAATGCTAACGAAAGCACTGGTACAGATCATGTGTGGGGTGGGCCAGGCTCCGTACCTAGATGTCTGTAAGGATAAAAGTGTAGGGATGTCAGAAATAACAAAAGCAGAATTGGTTCCTTACAACTCCTTCTCTTGAGATCACACCTAGAAGTCACCCTTTAACCACTACCCCATCACCCAGCTGTGGGTGGACACCAAGAGGCGCTGCACAGAGGAAAGGCTGCCTCTGGCTCACTCTTATGTGACACGAACACCAATCTGAAAAGGACAAACAGGAGACCCCATGCACTGCCTCTGCAAATGCAGCAAGGGAACAAGGCACCATTTTTGCCTTTACTGTCTAAGCTGCAGCACAAGCAAAATCCATCAGAGCAACAGTTATTATTACTAACTGACGCAAGGAAAGGGGCTGTTCCCCTTTCTTCACCAAGATCTTGGCAGGAGGCTACTCTGTCAAGGTGGTAATACCAGCTCACAAACAGATCTGTGAACAGTGACTGCAGAGAGCAGAAGCAGATGGTCCCAGCTCTTTTTTGGTGCCAGAAACACAAGCTGTTGCTGGCAGGCCCTGATGAGGCCAGGAGGAGTAGGTGGTGGTTCACCAGGGGCCTGCTGAGAAGGAGGAACAGCAAAGATCTGCTTTTTGACACATTATCAGCAGGCCAGGAGCTCTGGGCCAGGGAGAGATGGCCAGATGGCTAGGTAACAAACACACAACCATCCAGAAAGTAAGCACGTAGACAGGACAAGTTGGGCAGCACAGGGCAGGGGAGTAGAAAGAACACAAGACTGACATGGGAGGCACTGGTCAGCTTCACGTAGAGTCACAGGGAGCTCTCAACCATACTCTCCCAATAGGACTGTGCCCCATTAGAAGCAACCATGCAGATCAGATGCAACACACCACAAGGGAGAAAGGGAAAGGCTTGAAACAAACTGAGTAAGACCCAGCGGACAAACCAGGATGTTGAGGCTTTAACCTCAACCTGGGAAGAGGCTAGTACAGCCTGAAGGCACAACATCACACAAGGCAAGGGTGGTGTTCAGAGATGGAGGTTTAATTTTCTGTCAGCAACACAAAGAAGCAATTCTCACAATTACAAATGTTTGCTTGCATAAGGCTCAGAACCTGGGGGGGAGGGGGGTGAGTGGGGAGGCCAGCAACAGCTTCACCCCTCCCCAAAATACTACCAAGTGATATTAGTTCACAATCCGTAAGAGATCCCAACTGATTAGGCTGTTATCCCACAGCGCATTGCACTGGCACCAGACTTTGCCTAGATCAAACCAATCAGTTACATGGAGTTGATTTGGATGTGCTAAAGATGCAGCTCTAAGTGCCTGAAGACCAGGCTGCTGTCAGTCAAACAAGAGCCAAGGCGGCTCATGCTGCCCCCACCCTCCTGGGGGCACTGGCTTACCATATTACGAGGGGTACTTCAAAAAGGTCAAAAGATGATTATCCCCGATTGAGCTATCGCTCCCATCTTTATTAAACCCCAAGAGGTGTGGGACAAGGCAAGCCATGAGCAGGGAAAGACACAGACTACGCACTACAGCTTTGGTGACTTCATGTAAGTTTGGTTGTTCATGTGCTTCACTGGATTTTTGTGACGGCTTCATGGATGGACTTGGCCACATAGTCCAGGTTCTTGGTAGTCAGGCCACACATGTTGATGCGCCCACTAGCCATCAGGTAGATGTGTTTTTCCTTCACCATGTACTCCACCTGCTTAGCTGGGGAAACAATTGGACATCAGGTCAGAGCAGTGACCCCACAGCTCAGAAAAGCCCAAAGAACCAATCAGAGCTACTTGAATCTTTCACAAGCAGCACAAAAATTCCAGCACTGGCCACTAAGGTGCCGTCTGATGCTTCATCCCTGCCTAGCCACAGAGGCAGCGATGCCAGGGCTCCGGTGAGGTCCCCAAGAGATTCCTGCCTGGACTGCTTCAACCCAGTTCACATCCAGCAAAACTGTCCTCACCCAATCCTCCCTTCACCAGGCCACTTGGTACTTACGGTTCAACCCTGTGAAACTAAACATGCCGATCTGCTCTGTGATGTGGTTCCACGTGCCCGGGGTCCCGAGGGACTCCAGCCGAGACCGGAGCTCTGACCGCATCAGCAAGACTCGATCTGCCATAGTCTTCACATTGTCCTTCCTGCAGCAGGTGGGAAGCAGAGCGTAAGGACAGGCACCTGTCTGGTTTGGAGCCATCTGGCCAAGCCTGGCACTCAGGGAGACAGCCTCGCCCCCTCCCCTCCCCCGTTCCACTGGCCCCAGCAACACGTACCACTCGGTAAAGAGCTGCGGGGAAGCGAGTGTAGTTGCCACGATGCGCGCTCCCTGGGAGGGAGGGTTGGACCAAGTGGTGCGCACAATCTTCTCCATCTGGGAAAGCACACGCTGCACGTTGTCTGCGTCCTTCCCCACCACAGTCAGGTTCCCCACACGTTCATCTGTGGACAAGCCAAGACACATGAGCCATTGGTCCCACACATCATGGCAAAGCAGAGCTCTCCCTGCCCCCCAGCATGCCAGCCCCATCTGTCTGGGTATGATGCTACTGGGCCAGCTTACTGCCAGACACTCACTGTAGAGCCCAAAGTTCTTGGAAAACGACTGTGCACAGAAGAGCTCAAAGCCCTCGGAGACAAAGTATCGCACAGCCCAGGCATCCTTGTCCAGGCTGCCAGAGGCAAAACCTTGGTACGCCGAGTCGAAGAACGGAAACAGGAACCGGCGCTGCAAGGAGGAACAGTGTTAGAGGGAAACCCCTTCCCCACAACCTTCACTTTACCCCCCGCTGTCCCCATAGGAGGGAAGAATGACCATTTTGCTTCCAGGTGAATACAAAGGAAACATGGTCCAGCAACACCAGACTGGGATATTTTCTTTCTACTGGGTTAAAAGAATAGGAAGACTAAAGTGGTCAATAAAAGGTCAAATGCAGGAGAAAACCACATTTGAGGACACAGGCACAAGAGATGCACCACCTTATAACCTACTATCCAGCACCTCTGAAAAGCAGGTGCCCGTGGATAATCTCTCCAGCATGAGAAACTTCACTGCAGCCCATGCCACAGAGTTTGAGAGCAAGAACTTGGAGGCACAAGCATAACTGGGACACTTCTA